GGCCGTGAACGAAACGTAGGCGTTCATGAGAGCTGGAATTGAATTTGTTGATTCGCACACGAAGAAAAAACATCTCTCAACAATTTTAGCCTTCTGTTTTGTCTAATTCTCGAACTAAAAATTCCCCACGTAAAATTTCGCTTATCCCTGCCAGTAACGTAAGAGCGACTGAAATATGAGTTTGAAATTCCAGGGCTGTACATTCAAAAGAGAAAGCTTAATAGTAAATTTCACGTTCCACGACTGCTTTCGCTATGGTCTTCGCTGTTTTGTCAGGAATCACCGCAGTTATGAGGAAATTCGTGAAGTGATCGGTCATCGTGAGGAAATAGATATTTCGTCGACGCGTAAGCCCCCACTTTTATCAGATCGATACACAGTAACTCGAATGATCTGTTCGAAACGATGGGGTGAATCACACTGAAGATTTGGCAGGTATTAAATGGAGGTGTGCCACTCGAATTGGTTGTCTTGAAATAACCCTACCTGGCTTCTGAGAGCATTCTAGTAACATCGTTGGCAGCATCGCTAGTATGGAATCCACACACCAATAAAACCAGGCGGATTTGGTATTTTTGTTCTTTGTGGATTAATAGGAAAAATAGAAAATATGGAAAAATGAGAAAAAAAGAAAGGAATCATGAAGGGAATCAAGCGCTAGTAGTACATGCGATCTTCCCACAGGTTAAGATCAGGCATAAAAATTCAGTTAGCGAAGCACCGGCAAGCCTGGTGCTTCGCTAACTGAATTTTTATGCCTTTTTTGCAGCTATGCAATGCGGAAAACGCATTTTGACGAGAGGTTATCTGTGTGTGTGTGTGTGTTTGTCTGTGTCTGTGTGTGCGCTGGGCCTCTGTACCGATTTTTCATCTCAAGACCTACAAAAGCTGCAGAGCTGAAACTTTGGAAGCTTAACCTGCATGCATGTACGGGCGTCAATCCCCAAAATGGGCGGTCTTACCCTCGTGGTACCCAGCACGGGCCCGTGAATACTTTTTACGGATAAGCTGCTAACTCGCGAACCAGAAAAGCTATAAAGCTGAAATTTTAAGGGGATGTTCTCCATCCACATAAGTCTCAGCGAGCTCAAACCCAGCCCTCGAGTATGCGTGGTACCAATGTATGGGT